TCCCTCCTGTGACCGTGGGGTGCTGGGAGAAAAATGGTCCTCCCTGCTGTCCACATTGGTGATCCAGTACTCGTGCCCCTCACACAGCCGTGCGTGGGCTTCAGGGACCTTCAGCCCCATCACAGAGCTGTCTCTGGAGAATTCTGTACAGGTGAAAGGTCCATGGTGCCGACTTGGATCGGCACCACCAGCCAGAGCAGAGGGGTCCCCAAGCAGAGTATCCTGGGTCCTGCACTTGATGCAGAGCGGGTCCCCGACAGCCTCCCACACCAGGGTGCTGGCAGGGGGCCCCACGCGCCTGGCCGTGATGGTGATGGAAGCAAAGCCCTTCTGGGAGCCACCGCACGGCTTCTCCTCTTTGCGCGGCGTCTCTGTCGCAGGTCCTCGCTCCCCCGCCGGCGTCTGAATTCCTGGTCTACCGGGAAGGAACTCGAAGGCCCTGCTAATAGTGACTCCGCTGCGATTAGCCAGCGATAGCTTCATGGGATACGCACACGGCACAGGCAACTCGGCCCCATTTTCTTTTGATTTATTCTCATCAATCAGCTGTGAAATGACTATGGATGAAATCATTTTTGTGTTCTGAGATGCCAGAGTCCCCTGCAAATGGAAAAAGACGGGCAATTATTCAAGGAGTTCATTGTAATGCAGGCAGGGAACTCGTTCAAGGGCCAGGAAGATGCTGGAGATCTTTGTTCCTAACACTCAAGTGTTTCTCATCCAGGGCCTTTCAACACGCACCTGACACCCAACACCTCTGAGCATCTGAAGGGCAGGAAACCCAGATCTGTTTGTGAGATGATTAAACATTCTGGGAAAATTCCTCTGACTGGGAAATCGGTTTTTCTCTGCTGGGCGTCTGTTCTTAGTTTATTTAACGGTGTTCGTGTCCATGGGGATCGCCAAATTTCGATAATCACCTTCACCAGGCCCAGGAGCACCTGAATACAGGTTCACAGCCCCACAGAGGAGGGAAGACAGGATTCTGGAGGAGGGCTGGGATTTGGGGGCACAGGTATGTGGGAGATGAGTCCATGCTCCTCCATGCAAACAGTAACTGTGATTCCAAGGAGCCCCGCCCAACCCTCAGTCCCCAACTCCCCAGCACAACCTTCTACCTTTGCTGGTCTAGACTGGAATTCAGTCACTCACTCAGGCTTGACATCACAGGGGTCAAAGTCCAGAAATCAAAACAATGGAAATCAAATGCCCAAGCTTGACAACTGCCCAGACTAACACACTGATGACAATCTCATAACAGAATGGGATGGGGGTGGGGATTTGGAACAAGACAGATGCGATTTTCCTGCATTTCAACGCTCAGTTGCATAAGCAGGAGTTTTTGTCCAGTATAATGATCAAGGTGTTGCATTCTTCCTAATCAACAGACCCTGCTTCCTAATTAGCAGATCCTATGCCCTGACAGTAAATCACTAGTGTGTCCAAAACAATGTGCTATGATTTTTAATAAAGCATCTAACCAGGTTGAGACCAGGAGGAAGACTTGCCCTCATTTTGTTTTCATTACGTGTGTACATGAAACACCGCAGAAAGTGACACGGAAGACTGAGTGCATCCAGCGCTAGTGAATGCCTGCAGGATCCTGAGCCTCTATGTTTGACATTCATTAATCTACGTGCTTAAAATGAACCTTGCGTGAACCGCACAGCATCCAAAATAACGCTGGGAACTGCTCACTGCACACTGCCTGCAGAATCTTCACCTCAGGAGCCTGAAGCCATAACTGGTGCTTAGCACTTAAGCAGCAGTTCTCAAAGGCCAAGGTACCTGAGAAGCACCTGAGATGTTACACTTGCAGGTTCCTCAGGCTCCAGAGACTTTGATTCTGTAGGTCTGTGGGTAGGGTCCAGGCATCTGCATTTTAACCAACATCCCTGGGACCCTGATACAGGTGATCCAGGGAACACACTTTGAGAAACGCTGACAGAGTCATGGGACTGCTGGTCTTTTCAAAAAGGGGGAGGGCCTGCATTTGATGAGAGCAAATTATTGTCGCTTCCTAAGATGGGATAAGAAAGCACAGTGGCCTTGTCTTTAGAGCAGGATGAATATTCATTTACTCAACTAGTGGAATGCTCTCCACCAGCTGGGATTCTGATGGGAAGACCCTCACTCGTGTGATGTTAGCCCAACAGTCCTTACTCACTGCCTCCTTACTATTACTCAGTAGTCCTTTTACTGTTAGACACGGGAAGACGGACAGCTTGTCCTTCCTTCTTTTTCCTTTGTTTTCTTGCTTTCCTGGCATTCTTCATCACCTGACACGTTGTTATATTTGGAAGATAGATGGTAATATTGTAAATCAACTATACTCCAATATAAAATTAAAATTAAAAATAAATAATAAAGATACGTGGTAAGCTGCAAATTCAGAAGATGACGAGAGGTAGGTAAAGAAGAAGAAATGGATAGAAGCATCATTTTGAAAATCATTTTTTAAAAAGTCAGAACACCATGGCTGGGGCTTCCCTGGTGGCGCAGTGGCTGGGAGTCCGCCTGCCGATGCAGGGGACGCGGGTTCGTGCCCCGGTCCGGGAGGATCCCGCGTGCCGCGGAGCGGCTGGGCCCCTGAGCCATGGCCGCTGAGCCTGCGCGTCCGGAGCCTGTGCTCCGCAGCGGGAGGGGCCGCAGCGGTGAGAGGCCCGCGTACCGCAAAACAAAAAACAAAAAACAAAAAAAAACCCCACCATGGCTACCTTTTTCCAGATGGACAATGTAAGCCAGGCTCTGCTTGAAACCTCCTCTTTCAAGACAGGGCCTCCTCTTCAGCGGTTCTCAGCCCAGGTTACACACGTGAGCCACCTGGGAGCTTGTAAAAGCCCCAACGCGTAGGCCTCACCTCCAACAATTACATTAGAATCCTTGGGGGTGGGGCCCCAGGCATCGGTGCTTTTTAAAGCTTCCAGTTGATTGCATAAGCCAGCAATGCTGAGAGCCACCTGGATGCCTGAGGCACCTCCCTCTCCCCTCCCGCTCGCTCTGTCTCTCTCCCCATCCTCCACCTAGCACGTTCCATGGCTGTTGTTTACCCACGAGAAAACTGAAGTTCACCTGGTACCAACCCCAGGCTGTTTGACTTGAACACTATCGCTCCCGTTTTAGTTAAATTTCGTTCTGATAATAATTGTTCCCGCGCAATCTGCAAAGTGCGTAATCACACCCAGAAGGAGCTCCTTTGACACTCTGGTCTTTGAAAACAAATACCCATCTTGGAAACTGGGCAGCATCGGTTTTAGAGTGCATTGTTTCCCAAAGTTTGGGCCAGTGATCACCTGCATAGAAAACACCTAGGATTTAAATCTGCATTTTATGCAGATTTCTAAACCCTTCCCTCTGAAGACCTAAGGTGAATCAGGATCTCAGGGCCTAAGGCCCAGAAGTTGCTTCTTTAAGGATCTGCCAGGTGATTCTTCTGCACAGGTAAGATAGAAAGGATGCTGGGCCAGAACTTGGACCTCCTGAGGTCCCTCCTGAGCCTGGGGCTCCCAGACTGGCCACAGGACCTTGGAGGCGGCTTTGGATTCCACAGCTATACAGCAAGGAGCAAAGTGTAATTCTTGTGGGGACGCCAGGCTTCCTCGTACTCTGGTCTCCAACATTAAGAGGGTACCCCACCCTTTAGGCTCAAGATCCCATGAGAGCCTTGGCCTTGATATAAACAATGAGTGTCAGAAACAAGGGGTGTGTGTCTGGGAATGAGTTAAGGCCATCTCAGCCTGCAACAAGGGCAGACAGGGCGCTGACTCTGGCTACATCAACCTTACTGCACACCTGAGCTGAGTCGGGGAGCCACGACCCGGAGCCTGGGGCCACCCACACTGGACAGATGCCCTCGGGGCTGTGCTGGGGCTGTGGGCATTACAGCAGGAGGTCCTAGAGGCCCAGAAGGACGGGCAGAGAATCAGCCACCATTTCATTACCTTGGGGCTGGCAAGTGCTACTGTGACTTTGATCCCATCCAACGCAAACAGATAAGGGAAGAGACATAATGAATGATGTGAATCTGAACTTATTTCTGAAGCTCCGTCATTGCTCAGGATGTCAGGGTGACATCAGAACACTAGTCAGGGTTCCTGGGGGATCGATGCTGAAGGAAGCCCAGTTCCAAAGAAATATCTGTTTGCCTTCTCCACCTCATACGGAAGTTGTGGAAATCAAAACCAATGATGGGTGTGAAAGTACCTCTCAAGATATGAACATGTTATGTAACTCCAGGGTATGACTTGTCCTGTGAGTTAGCAGAAATCAGTGGATATCTGATATAATCAATCCTATGGAGGAATGAGGGGGTATTTATATCAAAATTATACATATTTCACAGGAGTTTATAATGAATCCATTTGAGTTTATTTGAGTTGCATAACCCATTACATACCCAATACAGTGAAATTTTGTGAATGTGAATGTGAATGTAGAATGAAAGTAACTATTTTAGATGCAAATTCTGTTATTCATAGCATAGAGTCATGGTCAAACCATTTATTTATTCACTCGTCAGACAAATATTTATTGAGCACCTACTATGTGACAGGCTCTGTGCTGGGTGCTGAGGGAACTTCCTGGACTCATGGAATTAACAGACCGGACATAACATCAAGCAGGTCATCAGCTTGCCAGGCCAGGGATTATTAGGTTAAATTCTACTGAGTTTTTTCAGGTGTTTAGACTCAGCTTTGACAAAAGCCCCCACCAATAAACTGAGAGAAATTATAAAGGAAACACTGCACTCTTTGCCCTTCAATCCATATCATACACTTGTATGGGAAGTTCTATTTATGAAATTTTATTTTCTCATTGAGATCTATTAAATAACTAAAGATAAGGTCTAACCTCTTAAAAATCAGTATCAGTTTGCCAGGGCTGCTATAACAGAGTACCACGGTCTGGGTGGCTTACACAACAGAAACTTTATTTTCTCGCAGTTCTGAAGGATAGAAGTCCAAGATCAAAGTGTCAGCAGGGTTGGCTCCCTCCGAGCCTTCTCCCTGTGTCCTCACATCTTCTTCCTCCTGCGTGTGTCTATGTCCTAATCTCTTCCTATAAGGACACCAGTTGTATTGGATTACGGCCCATCCTACCTAACTACCTCACTTAACCTTAATCACCTCTTCAAAGACCCTGCCTCCAAATATGCATTCTGAAGTTCTGGAGTCAGGACTCCAACATATAAATTTGAGGGGCCACGATTCTGTCCGTAACAGACTACACGATATCACTTTGGGTCCTGCACTTACTACTTTTAAAACAGGACAAATTTTCTTAAAAAGTAAGCACATCTTTTATATCAAATACCTTCCGCAATTAAGCTGTTGCAAGGTGTCACTCCATCTGTCCTTTGTTAACTGAACATGGCTTTGAAAAAAGATGTCTTTTATCTAAAATAAAATTAACTGATGTAAGATTTGATTTGAAAGGAAGAAAATAATCCTGTATTTAAGATTAGATAAATAATCTTGTATTTAGAAGATTCAAGGTCAGAGAGAGGTCAGATGAAAAGAGTTGGGGTTTGTGTCTGGCTTTTGTAGTAAATCATCCATGTCCTGACCAACACCACACGACACTACCTTTGTACACTCTCTCTTTCATAAATGTTGCTTTAAGATACTGATTTCTTTTAAATGTTTCAAGCACGATTTTGTACTGCTGGTAACTGTTTTCATAGCTTTATTCATGTTATTGACTGTTTTTAACTTTATATTTATGCTTTAAGGCATATTACTAAGAAGGACTCCCTTTCATAAATTGAAGTAAGAGAGAGATAAACAGCAGATGATCAGGGAAATCATATCCTGAACCACGGGAGTTAGGATGCTTCCATTCCTGTAGCAATTTATCTCTCCAAAGGATAAGCACCGAATCCAATCTACAGCTTTGAAACCTGTATTTTTCTCCATGGGACAATTCTTCCCTTTTCCATAGCTGTTCTGCAACGTACAACTGTATTGGCCAGTGGAGCCTTTGGTCCTGTCTCTCCACAGATGCAAACTGAAGATACCTTTGCATTAGCTGCAAGCATGCTTACTCGCACTTGTTTGATCTAGTATCATCATCACTAGGTAATCTGCCAACACAGTGGTATTTCATCCTGAATGTAAGAGTGTTTTCAAATGTATGGGTTCACTCTG